GGAAGCCACTAAGCAAAATGGGAACATGCTGCCGCTGAGCAACTGGGAATCATCCCCAAAGGGCCACGGCCATTTCCAGGGGATTCTTTCACGGCTCTCAACTCGGGCATCCTGCTCAAGGGTTGCAGCCAGAAATGTGTAGCTTTTTCCTCATGGGCTGTCAAGTTGGGAGACAGCTTCCCATTTACCCTCAAGAACCAGGGGTTCACATGCCCTAGCAATCCAAACCACCAACGAAGGCTTAGCTGATCTGATTCTTGGAGGGGTCTGTGTATCCCAAGGACCTCCGCAGATCAGAAACTGGTCAGCAACCCTGGTTTCCAAAGGGAAGGCTATGGAGGTTGATCGTTTTTTGGGCAAGGAAGCCACTAAGCAGGGGTCCTTACAATATACACCTGAACATTGCCTTGTAAATGGTGGTTTCCTATTATTTTGGTGGAAAAAGCCTTGATTCAAAATGGGCAAAATGTGTCTTCTCAGGAGCCCTTGTTAAGCAAAATCCTATGGACCCCCATTTTCAGATCGCCTCCAGCGACGCCGCCCGCCAAAGAGGCAGCAGCTTGGTCCAACTGGCCGAGTCCACCTCCAGTGACCTGAGCTGGAGATGCCGTCAAGCAAGACACACACACACACAAAAAGCAAGCAAGCAACCAAGCAACAATAATCTCACTTCCCAAGTTGACTGGCCCAAAAAAGTGTGAACTTTGTATTTCCCACTAAAATGGTCTTCCCAACAAGTTTAAAGTTCATGAACTCAGGAAGTGAGTAATAGTAACCACCAACCAAACAAACGACTTGAAGAACCCACCGAACTCCTGTGGCTCCTTAGCTTCCTCTTCCAAAAGCAAGTTTGGATTCCCCCGACTCCTTGGTTTTTTCCAAGCGCCAGCTAGAAACACCCAACCTTCTCTGCAAGCGAAAGGCGTCTCCCGATCTCGGCCCCCCAGGCGTCGCCAGATGTGCTGGGCCAGCTGGGCCTCTTTGGCTGGAGGGCGCAGCGGCAAGGAGACCACCGCGTGGGCGTATGGCAGCACCTAAGACAAAGCTCTAAACCTCCGAAATGGATCTAAACTGGGCTTCCTGGGTCTATAGCCCTGGTTTGGTTTAAATAAAGGGGGTACAAGCCTCCTAAATTGGGTTTAATCGGTATAACCCTACCTGTGACCAAACAAAGGCGGCCACGTATGGAAAAATGCTTCTTTCAAATTTCCAACAAGGCCAAACCACTACCCCGCACTAGGGGGTACACACACACACACACACTTGATCGGAGATTTTATACCCCATCAAGCCAAGCTTAGATTCTTCAGAAGTAGAGGTTTAATTGGAGAATAAATACTAGCTATGAACTAAGCAAGTAGCCTAACCACAAACCGTGCAAGCACGTATTTTCGGGGTGTTCCCTTCATACCCTGGAAACCCACTCCGTGATTTATTTATTGGATCCCAGTACCAACCCTGCCATTGTCTTTGAACTTTTAGACCCTACGCCCCCCGTGTGACTCGTCCAGGTTGGATGAGCTTGGGGGGTGTGGAGCTGGTGGCGACTGTTTCACCTGGCCTGGAGGGTCGCCGCAAAAGCGTTCACAGGCAAGACAACGTTTGTAGTCGGCTGAGTGGCCCAAACCCAGTAGATGCGCTCTGAGCACTTTTGCCACATGCAATCTTTGTGGAGTTGAACTGCCACGCAACACGGTCCTGAATTCCCCTCCGAAAGCCCCACTCCCTTTCTGTGGGCAATAATTAGAAAGGATGACGCGTGACCAAAATGTGCTGGAATGGTGCCAGCTTCTTTCACCCAACTGTGTCACCCGCAAAAGTGATCCGAATTCCCACCTTCAAGGCGACACCCCCCAAGAAAAGATCAACACACAAACTGACGGATTCCCACAAAAAGGGGACCTCCCCATCCAGGGGTCTAATAATCCGGTCTTCCCACAAAAGCCGCTTTTGCCCCCGTTTTGTGCCTTCTTTTTCGGGCAGGCGCAAAACCATAGTCCAGCAGCAGCAAGGCGTTGGGCTTCCGCCCATAGGACTGCAGCAGCTCCTCGTTCGCAACGAGAGGGCGGCAAAGCGTCATGACGAACTCGCCTCATGGCGACGCACCAAAAGCCCCCAGGATTCTGACACCGAAAGGAAATACATACCTACATGAAACCTGTTGCAGCTGGTAACTTGGCCAACATGTATCCTGTAATTAAGGAACCCTGGAAAGGGGGCGTTAGTTTCCCGCTCGCTCGCCCACTAAGAGACCAGACACACATAGTGCGCGGCATAAATGCTACCAACACACCATCATCGGCGTTCCCTTCGAATGTGTAGCGGACAGCTACCTGCCAGGCGAACCAGGAGCTTGAAAATGGTGGCTGGGGGGTCGAAAGCGCATGCCCTCTCCATCGCAAAACTAGTGGCCACAAACTGGGCTGGAGCCGCCAGTGGGCAGTTTCGGCTATCTGGGCAACTCACCAAACAAAAGAGGAACCTCAGCATGGGTGAGCTTGCTCTACTCCCAGCTGATACGAAGGTTTGATTTGTATGCATCCACCGAAATTGACCATGAGAAATTCGCCTGTAGCCCATTGCTGTGCCCAACTATGGCCGGCTGATTACCTTTCCACTCGGGAAGCATCGGATGATAACATGTTGTTTGCTTCAGCCAGCAAATTGTGCAACAACCCTCCGTGGATCCCTCATTCTTGTGAGTCACATACCCTCTGAACGCATGGTATGAATAGCTCAGGAAGACGGGCAAGTTACTTGTGCAAACACTTGCTCCGACGTTCTGATCCCGGGATAAAGTCCTCTTGGACATCAAAGAAGACTTTTACCAGGACAGTTGGGCCAGACTCGTCCCAATCCTTTGCCTAGTTCTGAGCCTAACATGCGCCATGCATGTCGCAACTAGCCGCAGAGAGCGATCCGATGGTAGGAGTATGTCCGCCTAAAGCATCCCCAACCAACGGAAAACCGCGCTCTTGCCGTTTCAAAAGACGTTTCAACAACCCAAAGGGACATATGGGTGTGCTTGTTTGTTGAGGGCTGTTCGGTTCCTTCAAGGGGACACCAAAAAAACCGCTGGTTGGGGTGTTCCCGTTTGAGGCAAGCCTTTGCCATTGCAAGAGCCTCGTCCGCCAAGCGGTCAGCTGGTCTTTGAAGGGGCCGGAGGTCGCACAATCTCAGGCCCGAAAACCCAAAAAAAAATCAAGGGGGGAAGGAAAACAAACGTGCATCATGCCCCTCCCCAATCGCAATGCGTGGCAGTTGGCAAGTACGGATCCCACTGCACATACATTGCTGGGTGTGCGCATCAACAGGTTCCCTCAACACAAGGACCGCTCCCGCCCAACGGGCGACCTCCTCAGCAGTCCCATGGTTCAGCAGATCCGCCCAGGGCACCAAGCAGCGATGCAGCTCCGGCAGCGCATAAGCACCTCGCTGCGGTGTCTTTGCACTTGCGTCGCTGGCGTAGCAAACGTACAAGGCACATGTGTATAAGGCACCATGAACGCATACCTTTGCTGAGCATCCAAGATTGCCAAACTGTTTCACAGCTAGGTGGATGCTTTCAAGTAAATTCTGTTCGGGTGAAGCAACCCCCCATGTTCAAACCACACACAATGAGGTTGCACCGTGCTCAAATAGTGCGACGGCTTCAAACATCTCCTAGGGCTTGTTCAACACTTAGCCCTATGTAGACTCATGGTCGCATGCGTAAATATTGGCACGCATATGTATACATCTATATAGGCATAGAGGACATAGATATAGATATCATCTGTGTGTGTGTGGGTATGTATGTAAATGTATGCATGTAAGCATACGTATGTGGGTGTGCCACGGGGACGGTAGAGTGTTTCTCTTTTTCTTTTTTTTTAATCTTTATTTTTTTAAGGTCTGCTTTTTTATTAGGTGCGTTTGGCCTTCAGAATGGCAACATCCCCAGCATCACCAGCATCACTTGGACCTGGGGTCACTTATCGGCAACTGATTGGGTGGCAGTTGGGAGTTGCTGGGGAGTGGCTTAAGTTATTGGGCTTTTGGCTGGCTTAGATCTTCATGAGGGTAGTTCTTGGGGTGGCTTGTGTTCAATTTTTGAAGCGAAGGGCTGACATCCAGGCTGTTGTTGGGCGGGTTTAGGCTTGACATTAAGTGGCGTGGGGCTGATTTGTGTTAGGTGTGCTGCTGATTTAGCAGCGGCTTTAGGGTTGCTTCATGGTGTGGTTAAGTGAGTTGCGGGCGAGTTTTGGTGGTTGGGGGCAACGCTCCAAAACCAACCGTAAACGCGACCCAAGCCCACTCAAAGTCAAGCCTAAACCCGCCCAACAGCAGTCTGCATGACAGCCCTTCGCTTCGCCAAAATCACCCCCAAGCCACCCTCATGAAGATCTTGCCAGCCAAACAACTTCCTAACTTAACCCAGCCACAGCAACACCCAACTGCCACCCAATCAGAGACAATAGGCAACCCAGGGCCAAGTGAGGTTGGTGCTGCCGGGGATGCGGCCAGCTAACCAACCAACCAACCAACCAACCAAACCAAACCAAACCAAACCAAACCAAACGAAACCAAACCAAACCAAACCAAACTAAACCCAACCAACCAACCAACCAACCAACCAACCAACCAACCAACCAACCAACCAACCAACCAACCAACCAACCAACCAACCAACCAACATACCTAATTAAAAAGACAGACCTAGAAAAAAAACACACCTCCTTTTACGGACCCCCCCCCCTCGCTCAAAAAAAGAAAAAGAGAAGAGAACCAAAACAATATAAATAATCAAGAACACATGGCGGTTTTCCTGTTGGTTTCCCTGCAAACCAAACCTGAAAAAGGGTATCTCAATACAAGACACACCCGTGTGCTACCAACATGCTAGACTAGTTAGCTACTCTGCTACTTAGCTAATTAGACAACTTGCAAGTCAATCTGTTAATCTCATCAGATTCCCCCCTTGGGTCGCATCAAATATACAAAATAAGCAGCTCATTCCAGAGCACTTGTCCATATGCATTGAAACTAGCCTTCAACCTGAGCTGCATCTATGGCCGGGCTGCTCGCAGCAGTCAGGACTGAGCAAACCTCTCCTTTAGTTGGGTTGCTTGAGCACGTCGGTTGCATTGGCCCAAAACACACGATGTCCCCGCTACGATTTTAAACCCCCTTGTTTCGATGAGTTTTCTAGGAAGCCGGGATGATTGCACCATCACAAGCGGGGGTTGCTGATTTTCGGAAACCCCCACAACCATATCAGCCTTTTGCCCCCTGTCTGAGGCACTTCTTTCTTTGCATGGCCCATCACCCTTTCCAAGGAATTCTCTGGTTTCATGGTTAGGCCATCCCGCCCACTAACTAACATGTGACCTCCCCGAAAGGCACTGAAAATAAAGGAATGGTGGAGGACAGACGGGTAACATCAACGAGGATCCTGGCCCCAAAGCTGCGTTGGCCATTCTTTCCTGGCAAGCAGCGGCTGGCCACTATGCTGCGAGCCCAAAGAAAGTCCTGGCGATGAGTTTCCATTGAAACGCAGTGGATATCTGCAAAAATGCTGGCACAAGAGTAGAAGAGCTTGGCCCCTGGACAAAAAGGCTCAATGCCCATTCTTTTACCCTTTTGGTTTGGGTGTCATTTAAAGGCGCGGAGCAATGCAGGCTCAGCAGATGCATAAGAACCTGCTTTGAGGGTCTCTCCTAATCGAAAACAAATCCAATTGGCTATTGCCAAAGGCTGGCCGGTGGTTTCGGAACACCGAGGTATTGATGCTCACCAAAGGGCCCAATCAAACATCAGGGCCAGTTGCGCTCAGAGCTGAACCCCTGCTCAACCGGGATCTCGAGGCTTCCCTCATGCTCCCTGAAAAAAAATGCCCCAGAACTCCACTAAGCAATCAAGACTAAGTGGCCGGCTCTTGGATCCCGAGGGATTCAGTGGCCACATGCGGACCAACAGATACAACACAACTCAAGAGGCCAGAAAACCTAAAGTTCACAATCCCTCGCCCTCTCCCTCCTCCACTCCTCCCAGGAAATGGGCTTCTCATGGTGGCTTTGCAGAAGGGTGAACTCCAGCGCTAGGCTGTGCCTGCATGTCCGTGTCTCGAAAAGAATGGTTGGTCAGTGGCAAATGGAAGGGCCAGGGTTGGAGGCTGTTCGCGGGGATCTGATTGAGAGGGAGCATGTGTACCACCAAGCTGGGCTTACACTCTTTTGTCTCCAGGCCAATTACCACCTGTCATTTTGGGAAAGTGCCGGAGAACAGATGCAGCTGCATCAAGGTTGCTAGATCAGCAAAACGGCTCTTCGACGTATGCACGTGGCCTCAATCTGGCTGATCGTCAGCTTGGCTGATTGATTGCCCCGGCTAACAAACCAATGCGTTGGACGAGTAATCGTTGACAAGGCATTGCCACCTTTGGCGGAAGTAACTTCAAGTGTTCGAGGAAAGCTCAGCTTTCTTGGCACTTGGTGCTTACTTCGAAATAATGTCTCTTGAATAAGTGGTCGAGCAACTGGACAAGCACATGTTCTTACAAACGCGAGGCCACAAGGCGAGCGTACACATCATGGGCACACTTGTGATAGCCTATGTGGCACGCCAAACTTCTCACACACCAACCAGGTGATTAGAATCAGACCCAGCGGCTGAAACAAAGTTGTTGCGGCACTTTTTGTCATATTGTTTACCATCCCTATAGAGCCCCTGGCTTTGAAACAACCCCTGCTGTTTGGCTGAAAAGTAATTAAGGACCCTTTGGTGAAAGGATTTAAGGGATTCTTGTCCACAACCGTACTCCCCCTGCAAAAGGTCCTCCCCTTCCCGGAAAAAAAAAAACAAGGGGGGAAAACAACAACAACACAACAACCACAACCAGAAGAGATCCCTCTGGAGGAAATTATTTGAGGCCGTCATCAACATAGCCAAGTGGCCGCTTGGCCTTGATGAGCCGCTCCAGATGGCTGCCCCGGATGCAGTTTGGATGCCAAGCCTCTGGCCACAGCATGGGGGTGTTGAGGTCCTTTGGCAGGGCTCTGTAGTAAGGCGCGTAGAAGCCTGGGCTGAACGCCGCGGTGTTTGCATACTTCCCGCAAACCCAATCCGATCTGACCTTTCAGAACCACACAATTGAAAACCCATGTCCTGACCAGAAAAAAAAAAAACAACTTTCGTGATCGAACAAATCTCGATTGCCATTTCGGCAGCTGTCACACGCCGATTCTGAAGCCGCGTGTTTCTTCGCGTCCTCGTGCAGCAGAAAGCTGGTGAGCACCAAGAGCCCCGGAGCACCGGTGAACTCCTGCGAATCGGATGACGGCAAACAGTGAGTGCCTCTAACACCCCCACCCCCGTCCCCCACCCCCAAAGAAAGCAAAATGTTCCTTCCCCGGAAAATATATGGATGAGTCCCCCCCGAAAAACAACAAAAAGTGGGTTCGCCGAATCATTGGAACTATGTTGAGCCCCCCTCCCCAGTCTGGTCATTTAAAGCATTTGCCTGGTGTCAAGCTGAAATTCTGAAAAAACGATAAATCATCGGATGTCAGTCAGCTGGTCATTCCTTGTTTGGCAAGCTGTGTGCACGCCCTGGCGGGAACGTCACACTGTTGCGCAAAGTGCCTGCGGTCAGCGGCGGGCGCAGTCTGGTGGGGACGTCACCGATTTTGCGCAATGTGCTTGCGGCCAATGGTGTGTGCGTGTGTGCGCTGGCGATTCTCGCCATTGTTGCGCCACGTTGTTGTAGTCAGTGGTGTGAGCGACGGGTGGGTGCGCGGAGCGTTAAAGGAAGCAGCCTTAAAGGTGCAGGTGCCTGTGCACGACAAAGCGGCGCAGGACCAATTCACGCTCCCGTGCAGGCGCCGGCAACCAAAACAAAGATCTTAGTAGATGGGGACAGGGTACAAATCCGTCTTTTCTTCGTTCGTCGTGCTGGAGCACGAGGGGGCCAACTCCTTCCGTAACATAGGAAAATCCTGCGACCTGCCTTTCAATCCAAACAGCCTGCTTGAAAAGGTGGGGACCCTGTTTGGGGTTGAGCATGTTTAGGGGGCAACCACAAGGAAAAACAGGACTTCACTGAAGGAAACCAACAGGCTGAGACGTGATTGAAGGGATGGGGCGTTTGGCCGTAGGTGTCGAGTCAGCTGGTATTTGGGTGGATGTTTTAACTGGCCCAAATGTATCCTTTTAGAGGATGGTAGACTTACACACCCCCACAAGGTCAGCTTCCATGATTGCTAAAACCGGGGGCACCAAAAAACCTGTCTTTTTTTCGGTTTCCAAAGGGAAGCTGAAAGCAACAACCCCACCCTTGATAGGGGTTCCCTTATCTTGAGACAGGCGCGACATGTCCTCTTTCAGCACCCCGTCGCTCCCGTCGCCTCAGCCGCCTCACGCAGCTGTGCGCCCCAAGGAAGCCCAGCCGCCGCCCGCGCCTCTGTGATCAGCAGCTTGGCCGGCAGGCGGCACAGCTCCTCGACATCGGCCAAGGACATGCACTAAACCACACCCCAACCACACCACAGGAGGGGGAGGACTGGGAACCATGGGGGAGGGGGGGGGGGAGGGGGGAGACTTGCGAACCCTTGACCAGATGTGGGTGTGGCTCAAAATTGAAGAAAAGGGGTGACGCAGGCTTGGTCTTTGGTTCCATCCAAGGGGCCAACAAGTGGGCACCAGTTTTTTGAGCCACATCCATATAGGTATGTCTACTTTCGGGGACCCCCCCCCCGAAACGGATGTTCTTTGGCTTCCCGTTAAAACCACAAGAAACATGGGCGCCCTCAAACAAAGACACATAGTTTGGGTCCTTTTTGCTTCCCTTTACCACGCACAAAGGTTGGTACCTTCAAAGTGCACCAGGGCTCCCTATATTCCTCTTTTACACTAATCACCCATCCAAGGGAAACTCGCTTAGGAGACCAAGAAGTGACTTTACCGGAAAAAGGGGAAATGGAGGGAACATTGATTCACAGCCATAGCGGAGCCAGCGCAGCCTGCAAGTAATAGCAACCATTGGTGACCAGTAGTGTCCATTTTGCCTAACAGTGACTCTTAGCAAGGGTCACTAATAGTCAGGCTGCTGGGTGGCTTTGACGGCAAAACGAAAGGAAGCCCTGAATTCTGAGACAATTATCCCAAAAAGGGGGCATCACAGAAATGTTGGGTTTTCTTGGTTGCCCTTCAAACCTGCTGCACATAAACTTGCCCAGAGTACCACAAGCCTGCCTGCAGTCCAAAGCTCACCTTACACCAACCCCAGCCGACCCCAAAGAAAGCGCCCTCACCACCGCAGCGGCAAACCCTGCTGCACAAGTCCCAGACCAACCAACCAAACGAACGACCAATCATCCAGCCAAACAACCCACCAACCCTCACTCGACCAACCCTCACTTAGGGTGTACTTTGCCAACGTTCAGCTGAAACCTAGGATTCGTACATCTTTCCAATCATTAATCACTTAGGAAAGGGCAAAGCTGCGGGATGGTACCAGGTAGGTGCTTCCTACATTTGGACCCCCTTTCAGGCCCGACCGGAAAGGGAGAAATGCAAAATAGTCCTTTTAGAATCTTCCCTGGGCTGGCTTGTCAAGGCACACCAAGTGAAGCACGCGCTCGACTCGGTTAGTACTCACAAGCAACCAACACCTGATACTCAATATTCTAAGCGGGTCTGCCCAAACCAGGTAAAGAGTCCAAAGGGGCAGATATCACCTACTTATGGCAGGCCTAACCTCTTACCCTGATGGTTGTTGACTCCTTTGAAACGCCATGAAAACCCTGGAAAAACGGCCCACCCAAAAACCCTGACAAGAACTGAAGGCCGCAGATCATGGGCCTGGGCCCCGGTCCTCCACCCCCTGGAGGCTTTCGGCCGCAAAAGCGCCCCTTCCGCGGCTTCCGACCTGGAAGGCCACAGCTTCGCATCGGCCATGGCGGCGAATCCACGCCTCCAGGCCCTCCATATGGCCATGGGAAAGCCCGTAGCCCCAATCCCCACTACACTAGGTTCTAAAATGAGTGGCGCACTAACCCCAAAATGGTATTGACCCACAGCCATATGCTAAAATGAGGGATTGGGCCAATTTGGGCTTGAAACACATGGGTGAATATATGGGTCAAAAGGCTCAATGGCGGAATGCGGAATAGGGTCGGGCCAAAAAGGAGAACAAGCATTCAGGCTCTCCTCAGCCACAAATTGACCAACCAAAACTAGAATTGACTAACCGTTGCCAACCAAGGATCTTCAGTAAATGGTTGCCCCAACATCTCCTTTGATGAGTTGAAGACACTTCCTATTGAGTTCAAACGTGTCCCGAGGACACATGGGTTCAATGTTGGGAGCCATCCTTGCAGTCAACCTTCTGATGTCCCGCAGGCCACTCTGAATTGGTTGGATGTGCTGAGACGTGCTGTTCATGATGCCCCTTGAGCCTGCAAAATCACACAGAGCGACATAGGCGCATCTGAAGTTTAGTGACCCTCCGCGCCTGTTTCCTTTTGATGTGCCTTACCTTCCAAACCGTCAAAGGTGTTGCCTCCATCTTGAGACTTAAGCACTTCCAGATTCGCTCAGGTCGCGTCTCACCATTCCCTATTTCGCCAAAACAACACGAAACATCACGAAACAACACAAAACAAATCGAAACGCCACACAACGAAACGCAATGCACCGCACCGCACGGCACGGCACGGCACGGCACGGCACGGCACCGCACCGCACCGCACGCACGCACCCACACACACACACACACACCACACATCACTTCTACGAAGGAAAACTCAGCCAAAAAGGTGATGTTTGCACCAATCCCTGCAGCTGCTCCTGGGACGCTCGCATCATTTCTCTGCTTAGATCTGCGCGTGCGCGCGGTGAAACCGGGCCATCATAGCCTGCGGCTCGAACCGCTCAAACCGAAACAATTTGCTCAGGAGTACTCTTTGGCCAATTCCTCAAAGTCCACTTGCTCGCCATCCTTGAAGACCACCGGCGCATATTGGCCTGCCATGAAGTCACTCCAAATTCGAAACCGGACTGGAACACGTCAAAGGGTGCAGTGCAATTTGCAGCTGGATGCAAATGCCATGCATTGTGGCACCGTTGTTGAAGTGCAACACCGCTTTCTTGGTCAGCTGCTGCACATTCCTGGCCAACTCGCTTTGTGCTTACTTTCATAATTCCTCATAACCCAAGGGGGAGGCATTTTGACTTGGCTATCAACAGGAGTGGCTGACTGGAGGCTCCTGACACTCACCCTCGGGGGGCGGGGCGATATGCTGTCCTGGCCAAACCTTGCACGTGAGCAGGATTCACCGAGGCTATCTTTGAGCCTCAGTCGCCAAAGGCGTCGTTTGGGCGCTTCGGAAGCTCCAGAAAGGGCAATGGCCTGGGTAAGGGACTCTCAGACGTTTTTGTCCAACTCGTCGTTCTCGGATCACGACGGCCAAAGTCTAAGGTTCGGGCTGTTGTGCTTTTTGAACTGGTAGTCCTTCGTAATGGGCACTGCTTGGGATGCAGGTGGTTTACTCCAAAATATCTGAAGTGAAATGCACGCCAAAGTTCAACCGGAATCCAAAGCAACATCCAAAGGCACCTAGCTCGGAGGGCAGATTTCTAGAGCCACAGTTCGTTCAACAATGTTCAACATCAAGGAGCCTGGCCTTAAAGTGCTCTGAAAAGCTCGTCATGCTCGCGGGCTCGAGGAAGTTAATGAAGGCATAGCCTAGCGTTGAGAAACCGAGTACGCAAGTCCACTCATCGCAGCACGGCATGTGCAAGAATCCCAGCGTCACTTGAGTGATAAGCCCACATTGGTCTTATTCCTCACGTCCATGGGCAAGTAGAAGAAATCATACCTGGCGCAAGCTCGTTGTGGAAAGCCAGCCTTTCTGTGATACCAACATGGTTCATCACCATGAGTACCACATCACTAAGGGAATATCCCTTAATATCACAAAAAAGTGTTTTTGCCGCCCAATTTCCCACCACCATGCACGTCGAAGGCTCGAACATCCGATGACAAGACAGAGCTGTCGATATGTGTACGGCGATTACTTCTCAAGGCTCTCTATGCAACATGCAAGGCCCTTGTTGCCCCCCTGCAAGAAGTGTTTTTTCAGGTTTTTTCCTTTAAACAAAAAAGTGGGTCCAATGGAAAACCCACGCTTTCCCGAAAAGTTAAAGTCCAAAGATCCAGCCAAATGGCTATAAAGAAAAATCAAAGCCGCAGTTCAATGATTCAAAAGGTCGGAGGTCTGAGGCCCTGACAGGCCAGTGAAGCCCTCAGCATTGATCTCTTCCAGGAGCGAAGTCTGGAAACGAAAGGTCTCGCTGGCAGGAAGGGGCGGTTCTGAGTTCCGCCCTTGTAAATCACCGAATATGTTGCTCCAAGGGTCGGGGACACCCTCAAAAACTCAATTTGTTTGAGCCCTTTGCGGGGTCGGGGTTCCAAGGAAACCATGAACTGGGCCCAGTGCCCTCGTCCAACATTAGGAGTAGACAGGGGCATCTTCCCCAAAACCGAGCCAGCTTCCATGAGGGATGGTTTTCCGTGAGCCTACAACAAGGGACACATCGAAATCCAGCTGGCAGGATTCAGGATTGATTTGGAACAGGTCGTGGCAAGTTGACTGCCCCAGGACCAAATCTGAATGACACATGCAACATGTAACTGGACTCCTTTAGAGGCCGGGTGTTTGGTTGATCAACGCGAGTGCTAAGGATTGCTGGGAACACATCGCCATGATCCCCACCCCAAGGGTCTAATCAAAAGTGCCAAGAGTTGCATTCAAGTACAGATGAGAGTCAAAACAAACGCTTCGACGCATTGAAGCCCCTTTGAAGCTCAAAAAGCCGGACCTGCACCTTAGCAGGTTATGAGCCCAAGGTAGCTGAACATGAGATCCAGGCGCCGCAATGCTCAACAAGGAGCTCAAGGCGCAGAAGCAGCTGGAGGCGATGGTGGAGAAGGAGAACCTCTAGCGGTGGAGGATGGAGTTCTTCATGAAGAAGAACAGGAGCCGGGGGAGGGATCGCAGAGGGCACCTGCCCCGGAAAGGGAGAATGTGCAGCCGGCACCTGGCTTGGAACTGATCGGACAGGAGATGGTGGTGAGGCTGCCAGGTAGCGGAAAGGGCTCAGCCGCGACCAGAGCTCGACCAGCTGGAGTCGGATCGGGTGGTGACGGAGCAGGTCGTGAAGCGGCTGATGAGCCGGTTCCGGAGACCCCAAATTCGACACAGGTGCAGAGAAGGTTGTGGTCTACGGCATCGAGGAACCCGTGGGCGACACCAGGAGCAGCTGAACCTCAACAAGGAGACGATCAAGATCTTCAAGGACCAGCAGGTCAGCCGGAGAGCTATGGGCCTCTCTTCACCCAGGAACAGCTGGAGTATTTGAAGCGCTGGGATCGACCTGGCAGTCTAGTGAACCTGGGGGAGACTCGAGATCCTCCATTGAGGCGGCCGGAATTCTTGCCCCGGGAGCAGCCTCGGCTTCTGGATGTGGGAGCGGAGGCCGGTCGATCTCAGAGGCCGAGAGAGGTGGACTCCATGAGGTCGGAGATTAAACGGCTCATGGAAGAGAACAGAAGGTTGAAGGCGGGAAACGGGTCGGGGGAGACCTACACGACGCCGGACCCGCCCAACGGCAAGGTCGACGAGAACGAGAAGCGGGAGTCCTCGGAAGAAATGATTCGGGACGATGAGAAGGGCGACCATTTGGCCATCATTCTGAAGCTCATGGAGGGCATGCAGCAGATCCAGAAGAAGCTCCTTGCGGGTGGCTCCAAGGGCACGGATGAGGAGTCTGTGGAGGTGGTCAAGGCCGGTACGGTGGAGTTGCCGATGTTGGCGGAGCTCAATGCAGAGACCAGCTCCATCGATTTGCAGGACTGGTTGACGTTGATCACTCCGGCGATGTCAGATCTGTCGGAGACGAGCCAGGAATGGTGGGAGCTGGTACTGCAGGAAGCAAAGCGGTGGTACGGCGACTACATGCAGGAGGCACCGCTCAAGCGCCTCACCATGGTGCCGAAGGTGGGGGAATCGCAAAGCTCAAGGTGGAGACGAGTGGAGCGGAAGGCGGTCACCCTTCTGATCAAGGCCGTTCCGGACGCGGTGAAAGATGAGGTGGTGGCTACGAAGAGCCTCAACGCCTTCTCGTTGGTGTGCAGGTTGATGATGATGTACCAGCCGGGCGGCATAGCAGAGCGGGCGGGTATCCTCCGCAACCTAGAGCAGCCGGCAGAGGCGACCAACATCCAGGCCGCGGTCACGGGCATCAGGCGGTGGATGAGATGGAAGATACGCGCGGAGGAGATCGGAGTTTCACTTCCCGATCCCTCGGTGTTGAACAGAGGTCTCTACAGGCTGACGAGAAAGGTGTTGGAGGGGAACCGGGATCTGAACTTCAAGATCAACCTGGCGAAGTCGCAGCTGCAGGTGGACACTGTGCCAACCTACACCACGATTGGGGTGTATTGCGAGCACCTCCTGTCGGAGCTGGAGCAGCTGGTTCACACGGAGAAGAAAGTAGCCCCGGGAGAGGTAAGGGCGAAGAAGATCGAGGGCACCTACGCGGAAGACAAGGGGAGTAAGGAGGACTTCGTCAAGGAGAAGAAGCCCTGCCGGTTCTTCCTCACAGATCAAGGGTGCCGGAGGGGGACGCAATGTACCTTTGGACATGAAGCCCGAGATGGACGGTCCAGGTGCTATGTGTGTGGCGCTACGAACCACTTTGCGAAGGACTGCTCGAGGAAGGCCACCTCCGAGCAAGCGGTGAAGAAGGACTTCAAGTCAGGCACTCCAAAGGTCGCAAAGGTGGAGACGGAGAACGCCACGTCATCGGCATGCGAAAAGGGAGAAGTGCAAAAGGGCTCGGGTGGGCAGGATGAAGACTCGCCGAAGAGCGCAAAAGGAGAGGCAGACGCCTTGCAGAATGTCTTGGAGGAAGCCGGGAAGATGCTCAGATCCTTGACGGTGGCATCGACGGGCAAGA